TATATATATATATATATATATATATATACATGTGACTGACTAACTCATTGATAGATTTCAATCTTAAGGCATATCACATGATGAATTTTAAACCCTTGATTGAACTTCTGGATCTTTCTTTGGTCAAGATTTATTTTTCTAGTCCAATTTTCAAAACCAGCTGTGTTGTCAAATAATGTGTGAAAGGCCACCAGAGGCAGTGAGCAGCTGTTTCTTTCTCGTGGAAACAAATCGGGTTTGAACTGAACCGCGCGAAGTTTGGGGTTGGAAAAGGAACCCTAATCCCTGAGTTTCACGTTGGATGGTCAATACTTGAAAGCGTTTTCAGAGAAATAAAGTATCTCCGTGTTTTAATCACATCTGAATTCACAGAAACATCTTATGCAAACTGTTGTCCACATAACTAATCTGATTAGATATACACTTAGATTTTCGCCTTCTACCGTATATATCAGCGGTGAGAAGTTACCCGAAACTTGGAGTCCCCCGAGTCCTGCCAGGACACACATATGGTACCCACTGATGATCATTTTCCACAGGAACGAAGCAGTTATCCAGGGCTCTTTATAGTTAAGCAGAATGGAAATTCACAGTTATAAACTTTCCTTTTCTGCTGAACATATAGCGTTATAATGCTGGTCACCAATTCGTTAAACTTCCAGTACATTCATTCTTATCTCTTTTTCGCTCTAAAACCTAACTCATAAATGAACGTCAAACTTTTAGCGGAATCAGCCAATGGGGGCTCCAGCGTTCCCGTCAATGGGGAAGATGCCACCGTCCGATTTGCGAAACTCAAGGCTGTTTACGAGAAACTTCGTATTCAGGCTCGATTGGAGAAGTTGCGCGAGTTAAATCAATCTCGAACTATCGAGCTAACTTATCTTCGACACGAGCTGGCCGAATTCAAAGCACACTATAAACATCTGGTAGCGGTGGACTCATTGTTGCCCCTTAACGAGGTGAACTGCTTCTATTCCGGGAAGGAAATCGAAGGTGATGTACCGGGTCCGATAGCAACATAGAGAAGCTCATCACCTTTGACTTATTATAGGTGAACTGGGCATTGCGTTTATCAATCCAACCCGGAATCTTGGACTGCCACCTTGCAAATCCTGTCAGTCAGCATGCGATCGTTTAACTCATGTTTACATTCATTTCAATCTTTATCCTATCTTTAAATCTTTGTTTTCATTTGTCCGCTATTTTCTATTTGTTAGTGCTCTCTGTAGGTGTTTGAATCACATCAGTTGGACTTCAAAGCTGATTTTCTTTCTTTCGAAACGTTGAAGTCGGCTCGCACAATCCATCATGAATTCCATTTGCAAACATTGACAGACGTATGCAGTGAAAACACCATTATTCATTCCAAACTCTTCTGTTCATTGAACTATTCGAATCTTGGTCAAATTCATTATTTCCTATCAATATATTATGATTCTTTTCTATAACTAAACTAGGTTTACAATATAATTACAGTTAGGCACATAAACACTTCGATTCCACTTGTATCCTTCCTTTTTCAAGTTGCTATTCGAAATCCTACTTTCAGTTCAGAGGCGAATGAATTTGAAAGATGACCACCAACCTCTGTACCACTCGAATCCTGTTGCTCAAAATCCACCGACCTCTCTGTATCACCTTTTTTCCAAAATTATTATTTATTCAATTTTATTTGTATACCGATACTATACTGGTAATAAGCAACACAGTAATCTATTTTCGTACACTTCGGAAAACCTTATTTCACTAAATAGGAAATGATGATCATTTACTGGTTAGGTAAATAAAAATATTTTCTTTGTTCGTCTACCGATCTATGTTTTGGTCTGTCTTTCGAGCATCTCTAATCGATCAAAGAAATACCACATTTTATACTTTTGTTAAAGCAATATCGAATGTATCTGGTCTGCAGGTCGTTTCTATATGGCTTAGTTCCCTTGAGTCCTCTTGAAATAAATGGAAAATATTTTTCTTCGTGCCCTTTTCTATTCCAGAGAGCTGTCAGAGAAGACTTTGAGTCGGATGTGTTAAAATCTAGATTCAGAAAAGTCATTGAAAACGCAATAATGAAGTCACAGTAGTGGCATCATAACGTAGATTGTTTTATGAGGGATTTGAAAGGTAGAATAATGGTTGCAATTCGAAGGGATCTGAATAACAGTGTAATGGATTAAGATTCGCCATTAAACGGAACCAATTTGATCGAATCTTCATATTTCTATTTCAGACTTTATATATCCTGAAGTCTTCCAGGAATAAGTGAATTTCTGAAATAATAATGTTTTACAGACCCTAACGTGATTCCGGTTGAAAAGAAACTAACACTTAAAATGATTCAACTATTCTGACCAAGTGTTGGAAATCAACCGTATGATGGTTAGATTTACGGTTCTACGTCTGAGGGTTGGTGAACTGAGTCTTAATAGGGACATGAAATAGACCACATACTGCTGGTAAGTCCTGACGAGAACGAAGGAGCTGACTGGTGCTCTCCAGCAACCACCGAATCCATTATTTCATAAATGAAGCGGGAGCAGTCGTCAAAAAGGCAATTTCCATTTTCTTGAAGACTTTGACAGTCAGCGGTCAATTCTCTATTGAAAAGTTTTCACTTCCATAGGATTTTTCCATGAAGTGTTTTGTGGAGTTCATATCGGAGCTAAGGAGCCCAATAACAGACCGTTTGACCACGATTCCGGAGATATTCATCATACGATGTCCCATTTTTTACATCAAGTGTTATATTCTTTTGTTATACAAACTCCTAAAATATGTTTTGTGAGCTCAACGAGATGAAAGTGTGTTATCACACACATACTGACTGAATACCTGGAGAAATCAGTAGTTTGCTAAGTCACATCTTCAAAAATGACAACTATTGTGAAAGCGATGAAAATGGACAACATTCATATCATTGATAAACATACCAATAATTGTACTCCTTAGCTCGAAAAGGTGAACCAACACCTTCCAATTCACTCATTAAACCAATGTGCTCTGATGCTCATCCGTTATTTGATACAATTTAAACTTTATGGCTTCAGTGAGAGACGCTGAGTATGGTTAGGGGAACCGCAGATAAAACTTAGAGGCTAAAATTGAACATCCTTGAGATCTTGGAGTTTGAACCGTTCACGACTTGCATAGGTAAGTAATGCCTCCCAGAAGTCTTAAATAGTTGCACGCATTGGTGCCTTGTATTTATAAAGCCAGAAATTTCGTGTACCGAAACCCGAGCTAATATGTTCTACTATTTGTTCCACGCAGAGATTCCTTTTATATTTAGTGAGGATGAAGTTGCATTATTTTCTGGTTTCACTGGGCCTAGTTTATGTAGCAGCATTCGTACGCGAGCGGACTCGCCCAGGGTAGTCTGATAAATTGTAGAAAATTCCTTGTATTTGTGATACCATGAAGCAAGAATGATACCCTCATCAAATCTATACGGAACTTCATTAATGCTGTGAAGCAGTGTTGTGTAACATGACACCTTTAGGTTTCCCACAGTTTGGTGTTTATAAATTGGTTGTGTGAAATGTTAAAATTTTTTCCCCTGTTTTTAGAGGAGCAAGCATGTATAAGCACATTCGATTGTTAATAGACACCAGGCACTCTTGATGATCTGGGGTTTGGGTTTCACTCTTTGGGAGATTGTTAATTCCCCACAAGTTCATGCGTTTACATGCGATGGAAATGTATGTGATAACCGACAAAGAGCACTGGACAACCCGTTCGTCTTGTTTGGAACTCATCATCGGTGAGCATTTTTGTGTCCCTGCCAGGACTCAAAAACTGAACCTCCCGGTTGAGACTTCAAACCCTTATCCCTGAGATATCCGGTCCCTCGTTGTTTGAATATCTGTGGCGTAAATTTCACTGAAGTGGCTGATATGGCTGTTGTAACAGAAGACTACGGTCTGATAATAGAAATCATTAACCACTGAACCAAAATGGGCTGACTGTAGTTCTGAAGCAAGCCTGTCGTGAAATCAGTTTCGAAAAACCGTATCACAACACTGCACGATTTAAGTCCAGGACGATTGGGTACAGAGTCGGACAATGCAATGGAATTCAAGTCCGCTGCATGGGGTAGACGATCGAATTTACAAGACCTTGATATCAATTATAGCTTGTCATCTGCTGATCAGATCGACCGAAGCACAACGTTTCGGATTATCTGCAAGTCACAAATCACAAGTTTGATAAGATATGCAAAAGCAATTGCTATCAATCTATAGAAGTCTCCCTGGTCCTTAACCTCAAATAACTTTATTTCGTTTTGTTACCATACTAAAACCCTATATAAACATTACACTTTCTGCAGAATGTAGTATGTTGAGGTGTGACAGAATCGTCATGGCCATAAGTCATAAGTGCGGTAGTGCGATATGGTCCTGACAGTATTTCTAACTTTTTGATTAACACTAGGAAAACATGTAAAATACTGGGTTCATCATTACCAGTGAAGTCTATAGCGATAAGCACCCGTCATGTGTGACCCAATGAGAGTGAGAGGCTGTCAGGTGCAGGACTTGCCGCGGTTTGCTTTTCAAATTTAATTAACCATTTCACTTACTGGAAATTATACGGATTCCAATATACCTATGCGTCTGGATACCTTCTGCTGTTCCATCATAGCCTGCTTGAAGACAACTAATGCATTTTCCCTTTTGCTCTATTAACGCGATTTAATCGCGTAAACATAGCAACATGATGGCAATGCCCAGAATTGCTCGTATGCACTTTGCAGGTTGTGCCTCCAAAAGATTCCCAATATGTACATGTATACGGCAAAAAATACAACTTTAGTTTGGATGATAGACCGATCCGCTGTCACTACCCAACTGTCTGGAATTACTTCAGGCTGGGAGCTACACGAGAAAAGATCACGACGAAGGCGGTATTATGAACAAACTAACCAAATTCGACGTGATTCAATAAAGAGTCAAATGACTGAAAGAATGTGAATGCTGATTGTTTAATGCTTAGTTAGTCGATGATTCTAACCTCGACATATTTTTCATTCAATTCGATTACTAACCGAAACTTATCTAACCTTCTCCCTGCTCTTCGGAATCGGGATAATTCAATAGCCTAATGTAGTTGGGATTTCAACTGTTGGTTCGTAGAAATTTTGAGTATTACCCCCCCCCCTCAATTCCCATGTTGGATTGATACTCAAGCATAACATTGGGTTGTCAAGTGGCTAGTAAAACCTTGGAAACTATGATCAGCATGTAGTGTCACCTTAACCATAGCGTTTATCTGGTTATGGGATTAGCATCGATCCAGCGTTGTTCCACAGTGTCAACCATGTACTTTTTCAAGGTCAGCAAAAGGCTCATAGTTTGAAAGAGCATACTTTTTGCATATTTCATTCGACTGTATCCATAAACAGGATTCATAAGGATCATAGAAATTTGCTACAGGGGAGGTAATTAGAGTCTTCAGGCTTTTCTCGGAGACGAACCTCTTCCATTTGCACGAAAACTGCGGATTACAAAGTAGTAGTGTGTTGTTACATGGTTTCCGAGGTTTGTGAAAACTCATGCATCATTTCATAAATGCGGATGCAACCCGGGAAGCTATGCACCTCTATTATTTTGGCATATTTTCTTTTTTGGCTGTTGAATCCGAAAGCAGATCTCACTAGGAACCAGTTCTTTCCGCATGCTGTGCGTCGTCTAGCAGGGAATGTCACATTTAGGTGACCCGTTTAGGTCTCATGTATAATTTTCTAATGATACCTCAGATTCTTCCAGCCACATATGAGAGTCTGGTAATTTGTAGAAATCAAGGAACATAATAAGGTAATATCCAATAGACGCTACTTATATCAGATGCGCACGTAACTTCGAATAATCACGTAAGTTGGTTGACTTTCGATATTCTCGATTCTGAATTGCACCTACCCGGACTGTCGCTTCTGAGGCGTAATCGTTCTACTCGATGTAGCGGTGTGTTGCTATATTTCAGCAGCAATTTTCAATGCGAACCACTCGATATCTTCACTGCAGCCCCC